TGATTAGAGCGCTCAAGAACAACTCTTAATGGTGTGCGTTGCCTCTGTCGTTTACACTTACAGACATTGTTTCCTCTTTTCTAGATCCTTGCTTGTGTTGCATGTACTCTCTGATGTACGTCAGAGAGTATTAGCATTAGTAGCATTTGGATAAAAGCGTCTGCTAAGTGAATTGTAGAATTGTAGAGTTGTAAACACGGACCTGACAACAGCGCCAGCAAGACTCGCGGTTCTCACTCATTATAGACAGTCATGACTCTGTTATATTAATGTGTAAAATGTTGCACATTCTTCCTTTAAGGACAGACACGGCCCTTGTTAAGCAAAAACAATTCTTTAATGTAATTGAATAACATCGTTTGATAAAAGTTACGTTTTGGAAGACTGTTAATAATTTCCGAGATTTTGGAAAAGAATCAAGACAGAAAGAAAAAAGAAGCCTGCGTTTAGCTATTTAACATTCTAGGATAAGACGCCTGCCCATAGATACCTTGGGAGTCCATTTTCATTGTACAACACTCAGTTTATCTTCTGTCTTGTTTTATATAATGTAGACTTTATTTGACCAGTGTCATTTTTACATACATACAGTATAATTATCGCAGTTCATAAATAAATTGATGCATCAAACAGAAAGATTTTGCAATACTAAAGGACAAAGTGACACTGAAGCAGTCCATTCTGGGTCCCTCTCATTCGAGTTCAGGGTGAGATCATCACTTGATAAAATGGCTCCATTGAATGTAGCAATCCAACAAACTTTGTAGCATGTGTACCATGTGTTAGTTGTATAATATAACTGAACCATGAACAGAATGCACAACATGTTCTTGTTATCATCTGGCTCTTTTCCATTGGCTTTAACTCCCTCCGATGGCACACCAGCATCTGAGTTTAAGGACAGTGTGGTTTGGCATCATGTACCACTAATAAAACCTGTCAACACAGGTTTGGATTGGCAGTCTGCAAACACCAACATGTCCTTGCATTTGTAAGACACAAATCAACCCTTTCTATTAACAAGACATATTTACACAACACTTCACAGTTTCAGTCTTCCATGGCTTGTCAGCTCTTGATAAACTTGTGCCTGTTCCTGAATTGATGCTTATTTTAATACCTTAGTAGTGATGATGTTTTGTTGGTTTGGAATCAGCAGGCACCATTTTATGACAATCCTGATGTTCTAGCGTTCTGCAATACCTCAGCCTTTTATGAATCATCCTCTGCAATAAATTCAACATTTTCAGGCAAGCACTATATCTCCTGAAAAGTAATTGAAAGAAAGTGTTTATGGTCGGACACACTTTTTTTTTATCTGTGGCCAGCCTACATGGAATTTGTCTGAGACTTTTATTGAATTGGAAAGGCTTTTTATGAGTTTGTGTAGTCTCAAGTTTCTCAGCCAGGGACCTTTGTTGAAGTTCTGTAACCCTAAAAAGCTGCTTTCTGGTGATTGTGTATCACCAGAGAACTTTGATTTCAACTTCAAAATGATGCATTTCATAGTTTCGGACCTTAATCCCACTGGTCTGTTGATGGGCAGTTGCCTTTGCAGTGCTGTTTGGCTGAAGAGACATGCTAGTTTAAGTAACAGTGAAACAAGTCATCATTTGACACGTTGTTGATGAATTGTTGTGTCAAACGAAGAGGACAAAACTAATTTATTAAACTGACCAACTCATTAACAACACAGCACAAACTTAACCACAGCTTGATGTCTGCTTTGAATTAAATTTTCAAAAAAAATTTATAAGAATTGCTTCAGCAATAAAATTCGGAGTAACTGTGAATAAACACTACAATAACGCTAATTTATTGAAGGCCTCACATTGGGCACCAATTATGTTGAGATTGTATGAATTGTTACATTTTGTTAACTAAATATCAATATTGTTAATAGTTTATAAATATCTGTTTTAGGATAAATGGAAGCCATGAATCTGTACACTAGCCCTTACAACCAGCTATAAATACAGTATATATGCAACAATAATCACTGACAACTGCTCTTTAATTTATAACAGAATGTATTTAATAAAGCCACATCAACTGTGAACAATGAACTCAATCCAACAAATAACCATAGCAAGCTAATCTACCGTAAACAAAACATTTACAAAGCAAACAGGGGCACACAGGTGTGTGTACGTGTATGTATGCATCTTCGTGAGAGAGAGGGTATTATATAATACTGGTAAGAAACTACTTCCAATATGCAGGATCATATTTTTAACAAAAACAAGGGTTGAGCATATTGACGTTCTTATGCATGCCTAGAAATGAAGATCTCGTTAAACAAATTCATTTATAACTCAAATAACACATTTCTCCCCAATATTTCATTATAGAAAATGTACATAGACAACATTTAGTAGTACTACACAAGACTTAGTAGATAAAATTAACTCCACACATTACCTTCGCTTCACTCAAACAAAAAAATCTGACCTGACCATCTCCAAAAATGATTCAGGGATAATCGACACCAACATTTACCGGAAAGCAGAAACACACTTTTTTAGGTAGAGATAGCAGAGCAGTTTCAGAATCAGTGTACAAAGAATCTGTCATCCGAGCAGCTTAACACAGGCAGTGCACTCCAATAGAGCATGCCTCCTTGTTAAATCCAAGCGCTCTTCCAAACACACCCTGTCTCTGTTTTCCCATCGAGTTCTCCCAAATTGCAAGCAAAATATTGTAAAAAAACATTGGCACATTCTACATAGTGATCCGGCTCTTAAACAAGTATGTTCTGATCTCCCTTTAATCGCCAGAAGGGTCCGGTAACTGAAGGACAGACTTGTTTACGCCTTAGTAACCCCCCCTTCCTGGTTGCCGGCCCCACCCTCTGGGTTCTACAGGTGTGGCCTCTGCACTCACTGCTCCAACTCATCTGACACTAAACACTTCTGTCACCAACGCACTCGTAAAAAAATTAAACATAAACTGTTTCATAAACTGCAGTATCACACACGTTATTTACAGACTCAAATGCCCATGTGGGTCAGACCAAACACCCCCTCAAAACACTTAACGCTGAACATAAAGCAGAAATCCGCATCCACAACATTGACTATGCAAAAGCAAGTCACTACATACAAGCAAACCTCCCAGAAAGGGGGACACATTGTTAACAAACTGCTGCTAATGGACTGAATGAAGAACTAAGCCTCTCATGTTTTGTAATGTTGTTTATGTTGTCTTAGACTTTGTCTCTATAGAGAAATAGTTTTTGTCATATAAATAGTTTATTGTAAACATAATCACATTTGGGATGGAATTTTATGAGTGGGCTACACATGAGTGCTGTCACAGCTCCAGTAAATTCCCTGCTTACCTCCCACTTTCATTAACCAATGAATGATGACTTGATGTGAGGAGGAGTCTATTTAGCTTTTTCATATATGTACTTGTACTGTTTGACTATGAAGAAGACGCAGTGCGTTGAAACGGTCATGCTTTGCACCTAAATTATTAAAGTGATTTGTGCATTCCAGTAATGTCTTTGATCCTGTCTGAGAGGAGTCCACTAAATTATTTTGAATGTTAATAATGGCTGTTTGAACCTGTCCATGGGGACATTTTATGCAGAATAATAAATGCATGTTTTAATTAGATAATATAATTTGCAGGTAACAAATGGTTTATTTGATGATTTATTTGTGATGAACAGTTACTTAACAGTCAATGTTTTATTATTTCCAATTAAAGAAAAGTTCCAATAGTTGTTTGATTTAGCTTTGCTGTCAATTATAGTTCTTAAAAGACAAAACATCTGTATCAGCAGATTAGACCAGGTAAAAATCAGAATAGACCAGAGAAATTGCAATCGCTACATCTCTAAACAGAACATATTTGTCTATAGTTAAATGTTTGTTCTTAAGACCAGAACATGGCACCTTATGAATCTCCTATATCAGCTAAGCCGTAGCCAGGCCAAGGGTTTAGCTGGGTTCAGCCATGAGTGTAGTGTGCCACAGATGACCATTCAATGTGTATCTGGTTCAGCTCATGGTTTCTACCTGTTTAAATGAACATGTTTCTTACCATTGTTCCCAAATGTTGGCATAGTGCTTGCTCATGGTGGACTCACCTCTGGTCTCTGTTAATCTAAATATATCAAGGTACAGTCTACATTTGCTTTTATGAAAAATGTTCTACAATACATTTTTTAAAGGAAAAATATGCAACTTTTTGATCCAGTAGATGTCACCCTTGAGCACCAGCATGAAACCCAAACAACTTGAGCTGCATTGATGTGTAAGCATACTAATGGTAGCCACCTTTAGTTTGCTCGTAGCTTGACACTGCATGTAAATTTACACGAAATGGCCATGATCTAAAACGCTTACCTGACATTCAAATAAGCAGTGAGTACAGTATGTTATTCTTGTTTTCTCTAGTTCCTCACTTAAACAACTTTTATACACAAGATTTCTGCTGTATTTATGTGTAAAATGTCGCACATTCAACCTTTAAGGATTCACCACTATACAAATAATAGTTGAGTGATTGATTGAAAGTATAAAGTATATAAAACAACTGGGAGAGTTACAAATTCATTCATAATGTGATGATACTGTTGCCAAACCCATGCTGCTGTAAAGTATTTACCTTGTGCAAAGTGCTTGTTCCGGCCTAGTTTCTTTATGAGTGATAACGGCGATAATGGTCACGTCTTCACTTAGCATTAACTTACCTATTTTTATTGTCACAGAGATAGGATCACTAGGCTCTTAAAAGTGATTTGTAGTTCATGAGGTGTTAGAAAATCATATCATAATTTTAACAGCATTCAAAAAAAATCTGAATGTTTTGTTCAGAGAGAACAGGGGGAAAGAAATGTGAGCTGAAAACTTGTCAGTTGCCAGAAACACAACTCAAAATGAATGAGAATACTGCTTTTATCATCTGGATGCCAATAATAAAAAATAAAAATAGCTATTTTTTATATTGCTTCCGAAGTCTTCAAAAGTAAAAATACAATAACGGCTTGATTGCGAGTCACTCATTTTATTTAAAAATGCACACATGTTATTATTTCTTCTGACAACACGACAACATGACTATACCTCAAGATCTCTGAAGTAATGCTTTAGTATTATTATTGTTTTCAAATGGGCTTTACATGGATAAAATCAGGATCAATAATAAATAAATCAGTTGTACATTTATCTTTTTAACATTTTAAGTGACTCACTGCTTTATTAAATGATTGTCAGTGTCTCTTAAATAAAAGGACATTTCAATTAAAACAGGAAAAAAAATTTCTGAGTTTGTTCAAAGCACCAATACCCGCCTTCCGTTTGATCCATGACTTGTATTTACAGACGTCCATGAATGCAGCTGGTTCAGCACAGGCAAGATCAACACCGTTAGAAATGACCCCGTAAATCCTGCAATTGTTCACGACTCCTCCACCAGAGTCACCCTGTGAGACAGATATGAATAGTTACAGAATTTAACATCTTATATTGAAAAACTTCAACTGTATTAAATGGTAAATCATGTTTTGACTGTAGGAAATGTGTAAGATAAGAAGCCCTTCAGACTCACTGGAGCAATATCCACAGTTTTAGATTGTCCACAGAAGACGTGAGCATAGGTCAAGGACTGGATGTATGGGTCAATGCTATTCAGCACATCAGAACAGCTTGCAAAGTTCGGACACTTGACGACGCTCATGTCACCACAGTGGAGTTCTGTTGGTCTATCATTTCCTATATGAGGATGGGAAGAAAGCATTTACTACGGAGACTAAAACATATTTGATTGTTTAAATTGTTGAGAAAATTGTTGAGTCATCACACAAACAAACAAAGCTTTCTTTTAACTTGAGTTTTTTTCTTCTTTACCAAAAATGATCTCCGACTAACCTGAGCATGAATTAGCTGGGTTTACAAAGAGTGGTAAAATTCAGTTTCACATATTGATGTAATCATTTTCATGTTAAAATAAAATATTTAGACGTCTTTAAACTAAATTGTGCAGTCATTTATGAATACATAATTGATCATAAGATTTAAATAAGATTTATTTTAACCTATTGTCCCATTGGGAAACACAGTTGTGGCTCCATAACCGGCAACCCAAACAGTTTGTCTGAAATATAATGTAAAGAAAACATAAAGAAATTGTTTATTTTACATTGTTTTGGTTTGTTATTATTGCTTCATGTTTCTCCAGATTTAAACTGAAGAGAAAAGATCACAACTCACACATTATGAATATTCCTACATTCCTGGTCGCTAGGAAGTGCTATATATGGAATATTAGTGGGTGTTGGTAACTTCAGCAGCATGATGTCATGGTCTCCATGTCTGTCATTGTAGATATGGTGTTCTGTGATTCTCACTCCTCGTGGTGGATTTTGTTGAACTGGATGCACTCCTAAATATGCAGTCATATTCCTAAAAAAGAAAAAAGGTCAACATTGACTATTACTGTAGATATATTGTATTAACAGAAGTTTTTCATCTCAATTTGTTTTTGTGACAAATGTAATGTAACTTTAAAATCAAACCATCAGTTTCTTACCACCTATCCTTCCAGCAGTGAGCTGCAGTCAGAATATAGCTCTCACTGATCAGAGAGCCACCACATAAGTACCCAGCTGTCCCATTAGATGCTATTAACTTGACATGGTACCCGCGCTCTGTATTTCCACATGGATGACCACGAACAACTCTCTTCTGCAGATCCACATCTGAGCTCACGGTGACACCTGAAAGAGAAAGTCCTCCACCAGGTGACTGGGAGTTGGAACAACAGTTGTTGGACAGAAAACATTTTTCACTCTAGAAAATTGTTCATTGACTTTGTGTTGTGACGTATTCCTTTGGATCACCCCAGAATGACAGCTTATTTTGTTTCATTTTTTATTATTTTCATTGAACACTTTTCATTAGTACATAACTAAAGAGCTACAGATGTTGAACTACAACAGTGCTAATCATCTCTTTGTCCTTCATTTGGCCACAAGTTCTCAACATCACGTCTTACTTTATGACCTGCATTGCATCTGGAAATAAATGTTCAACATATTAAAATCTCCTGCTGATATTACCCAACATCAAGCGTTAACAGGTCAAAGCTGATGGATGTGTCAATGCTCTGTTAGGTATTATTTCTGCTATATGGCCATTCTAGTTTAACAGATAATTCACAGCAATATCTGAAACTGTCTCTGAATCTTTTCTTTAACCTGTTGAACCTCTTCTCTCTCTCTCACTCAGTTACCCAGCAGCCATCTCTGCCCATCTAGTTCCCCTGGTCTACAAAACATTCAGATTAGTAGCCTCTGGTCTGGGGTTACTTTGATGGATATTAATGGTTGATAATAGAGCTGTAAAATTATTAATATATATGTTTTATTATTATGACTATTTATTTTGTTATTTTTCATACAAAAACAGTTTTAGTTAGGCTTTCATTTTGAATAATTGTACGTCTTAAGTGAGGGGTGCTGATCTGCATCCCTTGAATTTCTGTAGGATTCAGTTAATTCTACCTCAAAGGATGAAACTTCAAAAGTAAGCAGCAGACATGTAAAGATAAAATTGGCTACTCACCTGCACACAGCAAAAGGAGGAGACACTTCATATCACCCATCTCTGCGTGACTGTTCTCCTGGTGTAACAGTGATGCATTTTAAATGTTTTCACGCTGTGCTGTTGGACCTCCATCCACCAATCAACACCACAATGGTTTATCAGTACAACCCCATTGGCTAGAAGCTCTGCACCTGTGCAAATCCTCAAGCCTTCCTCCCCTTATTCCGCCACTAACCATTCTGATAAACAGAAACATGGACATGTACTGTGTGTAGGGCTCTGTCACCACATCCTTAATACTTAAAGTCAAAATAACTACTTTTAATACCTGAACAACATCCTCCGTATCACAATGTAGCCTTTAATGAATAAATAAATATTCTTGATCCACTGCAAACTAATAAGCTTCAAGTTTCGACTCTTGCACTCAATTACTGTACATAGCACAGACTATTGCACTTTCTGCTTATTTGCACTTCTGGTGAGATGCCAAACCTCATTTCGTTACTCTATACTTGTATATGTGTAATGACAATAAAGTTGAATCTCATCTCAAGTTTACTAATCCAAATCTTTGTACTAATCTCCCCAAAGTCTCATGAAGAAATGTATTCATGAAGAAAAGGAAGCCCATTATAGAGGCATTGTGGTTGCAAAAGACTTGGTGGTTGAAACTTTTTTTTCAGTTCTTAAGATGAAGGCGCCTCAAGTAGAGCAAAAACGTGCATTGGGGACCTTCATGAATCTGCCTCACAAAGTTTGCTAAGCCTTATATTAGGGGTGAGAATCAGAGGCCCCACAATACATTATTATCATGATACTTGAGTCAACATATTATTTTGATTTTAAATGTTTTGCGATTTGCTGAAAATTGCGATATAATCTATTATGATATATAATTCCATTTAACTTTTTAAACTTCACATTATGTCCACAAACTCAAACTGAATCAAGAACTGTTTTGTCAAATAAGAAAAATGCCTCAACCCTTTTCATCGGACTTCAGTCTTTTTTGCCAGTCTTTGCCGGTTTACAACAGATATGTGTTTGGTGCTCTCTTGTTTTGGTTTCATGCTGGTGCTCAAGGGCGACATCTGCTGGATCAAAAAATCGCACGTAAAGCCTTTAACGTCATGCTATCATTGACGTCAGCATTTCATATTATGTGCTGTTTTTGGGTGTAAGTGAAATGTCTCTGTTTTTACTGACTGCCATCTCTTTTCTTTCTTTTCTTAATCGTCAGAGAGTTTTTACTGAGTACGTTTACATGGACTTGAGTATTTAGGTTGTTTTAAGTACCCGGTTTTTGTGTTGCGCATGTAAACATCATATTTCATGAACTGGGATGAGCCCTTATCACAATTTTGATAAACACAGTTTTGCTACTAGGAGGACTCAGAAGGAAAACAGGATACTGTGGCATGTATAAGCTTAACCCCGGTTTCTGACAACTGAGAATTGTCTGTCGGTAATATATATATATATATATATATATATATATACAATTGGAAGTTTAGATGGAGAAAGCATCTATATGTTGACCTTTTTAAGTCTGTGGTGAACTGGCTACATGACCAGCTTCCCAACGCGTAATGTGGAGCAAGTCTGGTCAGGTTGGACAGTAGGCGACTTTAGAAATATTACTACCACACTGTCCCACCAGTCACTACTGCAGATCAACCCCTATTGCTCCCTTCTCCTCTGCAGTGGCAGTGACAGGCTGTCAGCAGTCAGAGGTGAGGACATGTTTAATATTTACTGTCACTCTCTTCTCCCATTGCTGTAGATGAGGTGGAGCTCAGAATGAGTCACAGTGTTCTCATTTTTCTCAAATTACAAAATTGAAGAGGAGTTGTAAAAATTAAACACTACAGGCATCCGTGTGAATAAGATGCAGTAATCAGGAACTGGAATACGAGTATTGATCATGTATACAGGGATATGAATAACCAAGTTTCTCTGTGTGCATGTAAATGCCATATCCTGAATATGACCAAAACCGTGATAAGGCTTAAACCAGGATACTTAAGCCCATGTAAATGCACTCAATGACAACTTTCCACTGAAGATGAAACAAAAGAGTTTGAGTTCATGTTGTTGACTTAGTAAAACATGCCCTCTAACAGTTGGACTTACAGTTGTCTGGTCAAGACAGATAAGCTCAGGTGATGCAATAAAAGTCTGTAAATTCACACAGCCAGAGTGTTTATCAGCCGCTTGCTGTTATAGTACATCACATTTTAATACATATCACTGAAGCACTGTACAGCTGGCCTTGTCTGAGCATTCAGTGTATCCAAATTAGTATTTGAATTCTCACTCTGTCAGTGTGATTATACACAGGGATCTCTTTGTTCACTGACTTTATTATCAGTGAGTAAAAGAAACGGTGTATAGCCTCTCTTTGTATCTGTAGAATATTCTACTCACTAATATAACCACATCACATGTGTAAAAGTTTTGCATAACTTAAAGTGCAACGCTTGAGTACACGTTGGATTTCCTATTTGATGTTACTTTAAAAGCCGACTTCGCTGCACTTTAAAGGCACATTTTCTGGTTTTCTGGTTTTAGCATCCATACACGGAGCGTGACCTAACCACTAGGCCATCTGCACACCGGCTTTTAACCCTTTGTAAAGGTCAGTCTGCAAATAAGTAGACTCACTGAACAAGTGTAAGGCTTTTCATTGTTTGTCATGAGAGACACCATGTTCAGGAGAGTTCTGTTTTCACCCCCTCAAGCTTAAAAATTTGAGTGTCATACCGGTATTTACACATGTTCATTTGACAGTGACGGTTTGCATTTTTACAGGGACTTACAAAGCCCGACTATTTCATAAACATCAGATCAAAAACAATAAGAAGTTTGTAAAAATGTTGGACATTTTTCTCATGTTGTGGAAGGATTTTATTCAGTCTGCCTAATGAGTGACATTTAAACATGGTTACTTTCAGTTTTTGCTTCTATGACAAAGCTTGCTACTGTATTAATAACCTCCACCTTGAGAAAGGGGAGGTGTTTTTTTAATCAGCTGAATACTCGACTATGTGCTGGAGTGTGAGTGTGGAGGAAACCCGTTCTATACGGTGGTCCTAAAGTGCAAAACACAGCAACAAATCAAAAAACACAAAAACAAATCAAAAAACACAACGACATTAACTTTAACGGAAAAGGTAGGTACCTGCAGTCGACAAGGATCGTCGCTCTCTCTCTCTCTCTCTCTCTCTCTCTCTCTCTCTCTCTCTCTCTATTCTCTCTCTCCCTCTGTGTGTACTTGTGTCTGTCTGTGTGTGATAGAAATCCAAGGTCTTTTTTCTCAAGACTTATTTTTGGGCTTTTTGTGCCTTTAATGTAGAGATAGGACAGTGGGCCGCCCGTTTGTTGGACACATGGGGCGCACGTACCATCACGCTACCGGCGCCCCATCCAAGGTCATTTTGTCCCCTTTTCTACAGTCTACACATTTTCACTATGAACTATCACTATCACAATGTACTGTTCACTTGCCCGCTTCCATCGCTGCAACACCTGTTGGTTTGCAGAGTATCTGGCAAACAGAGGGGGCTTCAAAAACGGCAGCGTTGGGGTTACTTAAAACCGCCTACCATCTCTGGTCTAAACAAATCCAGACCATTCAGGACCAGAATCTAAAGTTAGAAGGAGGACATACTGGTTATTTGTTTGTGTGATGACTCTTTTTCTCTATTTGAGAATGGCTATAGCTTGCCTGTGCTACTAGTTGGGCAATCTTGATAACAGAATGAGGTTGTTGTGGCCTTCTTTGAAGTCTCAGTGACACCTAGTGGTGAACTATCAAGACAGACAGGAGACATCAAGGGAGAGTATAACAAGTGGAGATATAAAGAGAAAGATAGAGAGACAGGAGACAACCAGACAGTATGTGGTTACTTTAGGAACCCCAGCAGAGTCCAAATGAATATCTCAACACTCTATTGATCCACACTCTGCCTTTCACCGCCAGCTCCCAGTCTCTCCATCTTTTGCTATCTTGCTGTCAAAGTCAAATTCGTCAGGTGTTTTTCTCTGCTATTCCCTACCCCCCCCTCTCTCTCTCTCTCTCTCTCTCTCTCTCTCTCTCTCTCTTTTTCACATAATCTATCTCACTACTATGGTGCCCCTGGGTATAATCAAATAAATGACACAGAGATGGAGTGTATCAGGAACTGGCATTTAGTTCAGTGCATGCGTGCGTGTGGGCATGCTCTTTTAAATAATGTCCTCACAAAATAGAAAGACCCTCGAGGTTACAGGCATGGTTTCAGTGTTTAAGAATACAGTGTGGGGCTTTTGTCATCAGGTTTAAAACATACTTTTCTCTTATCTTTTATAACTACACTGCCATAAAAAGCCAGATTATGTTAAACTATCGCCAACAAGTAACCCTTTTTTTGGACATTTCTCTCAACCCTATTCATGACCTATTGATGATTTTGAATCTCAACTGAAAGCTAGCTTCAGCCTCACAGCAGTGCCCAATATCACCTCTGATGAGTAGACTGTGTGATATAAAGAGATAGTTTTGACAGTTAACCTAGCAATTTCTACAGTGTGAAAAAAAACCCAGTTGTAACAGGGGATTGTTAAAACACGGACTATCCAAAACTTCACTAAGATTAGGTGAGATTGTCGAAATGGAAAACAAAATATATGGTAAAGGTTAGGTGACCTAGTGTGATTTGGCCTTCTCAACGTTGGTCTTGAAGTGTCTTAAATATCAAGGACAGAGATATTATACTGCTCTTTAAGTTGTATACTGCACACATCTGGAAATAATTTGTATCTGATAGAGGAGTTCCCTTCAATTGAATGTTTGCTCAGAGGTGTTGTTGGCAGGATAAGGGATGAGTTGCCAGGAAATGCCTAAATCTAAGACAGGATCCCCCACAGTGGAAGGTAAACAAGGGGACCTCTGTGTCCAGAGAGATACCCAAGAACAGGAAACAGATGTCTTCATGTGTCCTGTGACATTATGTATAAAGAGCACTCTCAATGTATGTTCGAGAGAGATCATTATTGGCTTCTTGACTCTCCTGGGCAGACGTGTTCAGTGATTCTGCAACTTGTTAATAAATA